CTAGGTAAGTATGACTTTTCTGGGCCATACCAATGTTTAAGGAGTTTATAGCCTTGTGGCACTAATGAGACTTATTCTCAGAAATGACTTTCAATGCTAACATTTCACTTTTTTAAATAGACTTATGCAGTTTCATCTATAAGGGAGGATAAAGTTCTACTTCCTAGTCCTTATAGTTCAAGGGCTACAATATTATATAACTGTGGCTCAGATCTTGGAAGGTAGGAGTAATAACATGTTCATAAGTGCTTTTAATCAAACACAAATAAATACAAAAACCCACTTTAAACTACAGTTACGTGTATAACTAATTTATACATGACAGACACCAGGGGGTTACAGGGACAACGACAAGATTTGACCACAAGTTGGTGGTATAAAATCGCTACAATTGCTCTAAAAGCTACCATATCTATTTACAAAATTAACTCACATAGTCAATTCTCAATTATGCAGGTTACGTTATTCCAGTTCTTTAATTCTGTTTTTCTCTTCTGTTACCTTGTAGTTACATAACTGCTTATTAACTCATTTTCTATTGAGGAAAGTCAATTAAAAATTTTATGATTTACTATAAACCTTGATAAATTTTCAAATGCCACAATCATACCTCACAACATCTCATGGAGTTCACTGAAACAAAACCAGTGCTAAGGACAGAGCAAGGCACGCTAAAAATCTCTGAAGCTTCAGACAAGAATCCTTAAATAAAAGCTTCTCTTGTACTGACAAAATAGGCTCTGAACTGTCTACCTTTCCTTAGTTTTGAAAGGGGATCAGAAATTAAAATGCTGCTGGCTTGTATGCTGATTCAGAGGAAAAAACATTATGCAACAAATCTAACAGAGCTCAGAAGAGAGATTTTTAATTTTAGGAGTCACCTAGTTTAAATTAAAAACCCTATGAGCAATGAAATCTACTTAATGTTCCCTCTTTCTGTGTGAACCAGAGATCTAGTCATCATTCACTAATGGAATGAACAATAAACAGAGTACATAATTCACTCAGATTCTTCACTGAACGTCCCAAGTAACTGCATTAGAATATATAGCATCTAGAAGGTAAGTCTATAAATCCCCACTTAGGCAGTCAATAACATGTCAATTCAGACATTTTTATAAAAATATTAACTATAAATCTGTTAAAGTGAGCTGGAACTAATAAAAGATACTGTGAAAATAGAAATTAGAAACAGACGGGTGAGGGGATGCATGGGAACTCTACTCTTCATTCAATTTTTCTATAAACCTAAAACTCCTCAAAATAAATCAATAAATTTTTCAAAAACAGAATAGAAAGTAGAAATTAGGAACACAGAACAATATAGAAGTGGGAACTATAATCTCCTAATTCTATGACTTTACCAACATGAAACTGTATCAATCAGTCTAGCACTGGAGGAGCTAATCCCCCTTTGAAGCCATCATCTATGTCACTCATCAGACAATCAAATAGTTCTAATACATCTATTATAAGGTTGTTTTATATTAATTATCCTTTAGATCATTATGTAACTATCTAGTCACATGGTTATATATTGTCTCTCCAAATAAAACATTAGCAACTTTAAAGCAGAGATAAAGTTGGCTCACAGCACAGTGCCTGTAGCACAGTGCCTCTAACGTAGCAGTGATAACAACAACATATTATATTATCTAGCTACCTGTGATTTATAGTTTATTAAATTCTAAGTGCTCAATATATACTATTTAACTGAAGGGTGATGGGGTATCAACTATTTATGAGTCCTCTAGGGGGTGCAATATGAAGGTCTTTCCTCTCTGTACTTCACATAATTTGCTTTTAGTGATTGAATTATAAATTTTGCCTTTCAACTTTGCGTTTTCCACTTAAAAATGGACAGCATTTTTACAAAAGACTGTAGGGAAATAGAGAGTATAAATATGTGAGTTAGCACACACAGAGAAGGAAGATAGGTGGGAATGGTTTTTAAGGGTTATGTACCATTAGAGTGGCCTTCTATACCAAATGGAAAGTTTCAAATTATTACTTTAGGAGACTCTTCTTACCTAAATATTTACCTCTACCTAAAACTCAACTCAAGGCCAGAAATGGCCAATGAAGGTGTCAGATGTCAGTATCAATGTTATGTTGTTGGTATTCCACTAAGCCTCCTACCAACAGATTTGCTAATCAGTACAGGCAGCAAGGGCTATGAAAGTTTCTTCTGGAGAACAATAATTCCTACGTTCTTGTACCAAGATCTGAGAGAGCTAAAAGAAAATACACCAACATCCTCTCCTTTATCAATTACCAACTTAGATTGGTAATTTTATCAAATTCCATACCATGGCTTTAAGAGATTAAGTGTGACTTTTGGAGATGCATCAAGAGTTGCAGTTCTAGGAGCTCAATAACACCTAACTATGTGCTACCCACCTCAGGCAATTTTAGAGGTTCACACGTCACAGAAAATTGCTTTGCATGCCAATAGCTGCCACACCCTACTCTACAGCATACCTCCTTGCCTATTAGAAGTATTAGACATACCTCCATATATCTAGCCATTATCAACAAAGAAACAGGCCAGCTGGGAAAATAGCCAAAAACCTTAGTTGGAAAGTTGTCAAAGTAGGCAGGTTTAGCATTTAATAAAGTATGTTTGGAGCAATATAAATAATAAACTCAGAATAAAAGTCACCAAAGAGCTATTAATGTTATTGGATTTGTGACATCTTTTAATAAAATTATATTTTCTAAAACCGAAAGCAGAGGCGATCACAGTTTTAGACTTGGATCTGCTATCTGTATTCTCAATCCATCTCCCTCCTTCCTGCTCTCATCTATCCTCATCCTTCAACATAGACTCCACTCTCTCACAAGTGCCTCCAAAGATAATCCAAACAAAACATCCAGGCACTGGCTGTCTTCAGCTTAAAACACTATATACACTATTTTCTTGCTCTACTCAGCTTTTGGTCATCCCAACGTCCTCTTTAACTGTTACTGTGTTCCTCAAAATACTGAGTTGTTGCCTAAATTACTTTACACTTATTCTGAGAAACTGAGTTGTACACTTGAACCCCTTTCTCCTCCAATATACAAGCCATATCCATAAACTAACACACAGAATCCAAGTTCCAGCAGCAATGATGTTTTGAAAGCCCCTGGAGGCCACCCTAGAAGGACCCAATTCAGCCCTCTCAACTCCATCCATTCCATAAATATTTACTGAGTACTACCACATGTAAAAGGCTGTGTGTCATACCCTTTTGCAGGAAGCTGTTCTTTCTGTCCTACACATACATACATGTGGTCTCTACTCCTCAGGTAGTCCTTTTACCAACTCCGGTGAACACTGCTTCCTTTCTCAGACTAAGTTGTTCTCCCAATGCTTTGATTCTTATCAACATCTCTATGTTCACCTCACTTCCCCCATTATTATTATTTCTTAACCTGATTTGGGTCTTGGACCTCTGCTGAATAGTACTTTTCTAATTATGGGCTGACAACCAGTTGTAGTTCCCCACTCACATTCTGATATACACTTAAGTTTGTGTATTACCTTTGAGCAGTGGTTCTCAAATTTCATGTGCATCAGAATCATCTGAAACAGTTTTAAACATACAGTTTGCTGAGCTAATGAGTGCAGTTCTAACAAGTTCCCAGGTGATGCTCATGCTGCTAGTCCAGGCACCACACTTTGGGAATCACTGTCTTTGAAAATCTGATGAAAGCTATGAAAAAATGCCTATACTTACATAACTTTGCATGTAACTTCAAGGGGTTCATGGATGCTCATTCATAGATACTCTCTGCTCCATATTTTGTTCTAAAGAATGTTTAAGATATAGTGTTTCCTGATCTGACAGTAGGAAGGGCTCACTATAGTACAGGTAAACTCAGTGCCTACAAATACTTTCTATGAATGTGGGACTGCTGGTATTGAAAAGTCAGTTCTACCCAATGGGCTGCCTTTTTCAGCCTCATGGAGCTTTTTCACATGCATGTGATAATTTTTCTATACTGCTAGTTTAATTACCAGAAATAAAAGACTCATCACTTAGTATTTAAAAGGCTCTTTGGAATAGCTCAAACAAAACACTTTCAATGAAGATGGTCTAGTAGAAAGAATAAAAAGACTGAACTAAGTAATTTCTAAGATGCTTCAAATCCAGGATTTTCTATCTATGAACTCCAACCAGCCAGCATGTCATTATTCACTTATATTTTCTTCATATGCTAAAGAGTCATTTATTCTGCAATTTAATTCAGTATATACTGAATTAAAAGTATATACTGTTTATATACTTTTATAAAATAAAAGTATAAAGTAAAACTTTATACTTACATATAGTACTTATATAAAGTTTAAACTTAAAAAACAATGATAGTTTTATTTTACCCTTCCCTTCTCTATTTCCTTCCTCTACAGTGTCCAACATTCCAATATCTACTAGAGAAATACAATAGGAATAGTAATAAATTATTCTCCTTTCCCAAATAGGATTCTGTAAAACACATCTTGTCAACACAGAAAAACCCTTTTGAAGAAGATTTCCTCTGTATTTCCTTAACAGATAGCCAGAATCCATTAAATTCATTTTTAATCTATTCAATAAGATCTCTCAAGGCCTGGCTATTATAGATATAGTACAATTCTGTATGTTTTTAATGCTCTATCAGATATTCTTTTCTCAATCTACAATACTATTAGTTTATTGTAGGAACTTGTAAATTGAATGTGAGTGAATATGTGAATGTGTACAAATGTCTATCAAAACTACCTCCAGGTAGTGGGGTGGGGCCACATGTGCCTTTCTGGATCCTTTAATGGATTTCTGGATTCTTCACAGTGGCCTTCTGACTAAATCCAAATTTTGCAGAACAAATCCTTTTAATAAAGGGATTTTTTTTCTGTGAAGTCTGGATTTGGTTGAGGGGCACTGGGGATCTGGAGGGCCACATGTGGCCCCTAGAGCCTAGGTTCTCCAAAGCTATAAACTATCTAAGCATCAAGCAATTTCAACTAAACATACCTCTTGTAGAAGACGTGGATCCAGGCAGTCACCATCATCATTAAACAAAGACTCCCAGCTCTCCTCAGCAATAGCACTCTCCTCCACATGAAAAGTTTCAGTCACTTTTGGTTCCATGGATGCTTCCATAGATAATGATTCTCTATCAGGAAAGGATACACCAAATTCTATATTCTCTGAGTCATCTTGTTCTTTTATTTTGAACTCTTCAGCAGTTCTTAGTTCATGTAAGGCCTCTGTTGTATCACTAGTACTATCCAGATCATTGCCCAAGGCACTGTCTGAAAGTTCTTTTGTCCCATTTAACATATTGAGTTCAGAGTCCAAAACAGTGTTACAATTACCACCAACAATCTTCTTTACAGGTAAGGAAGAAGCACAATCTGACAGGCTCTCTGTCAACTTTCCTGTTGACTCTGTACAACTAGATGAAATACTCTCAGCATAAATATCTGAGCAAGCAGTCAAAGTGCTGAAATTTTCAGTGTCATTCCCACTTCTAGCTACATGAAGCAGGGCTGCATCTGCACTCATTCCTATACATTTTGAGAAACTACTTGTATCGTTACAGGTCTCATCAGCTATTCTAACTGCAACTACATAAGGGCTGCCAACAGCTATATGATCACAACATATGGTATCTGTAATGTCCATCATACATGCTTTACTGGTAATGTCACCTACACTCTTAAATCCATTATCTGTATCTGTTTCATGAGAAAGGATAGCTGTATCAGAAGGTTCATACTTTACACATAACTCATCAGCAATGCTGTCATTCTTCTCATACTCTTTAAACATTATTGGATCAACAATGCCATTTGTGCTCTTTAATTTGCTGACTACAGACATTTTATGAGAGATGTGACCCATAGTCTCAGGAATGGAATCTGCATCTTTCTGATCCAAGATGAAACCTGTACTACTGGCTACCTCACCTACATTCTCAGCTTCAAAGTCTATACAGGTTTGATCAATGACACTATCCAGACTTCCAGAAACAGAAAGAGCGGTGATGCCTTCATTGTTGAGTTTCAACATTCCATCTGATGTTTGTATGTCTTGTTGTACAATTCCAGAATCAGAGCTTATTTTTATTGTTGCAATCATATCCTCTGGTTTCAATACAGAATTAAAAACCTTAGGAGACTGGGATAGTATCTCTACAACCTTAGCATCAGTTTCAATTCTGTGTTCCAAATCCCTGGCTTCAAACGTTTCCCCACTTAGTTCGTGCCTACCGAAATCACAGAATTCCACATTTTGAAATGGTTTGCTTAGAACCTGAGCCTCACTAATTTCTGAACAAGACTGTGATAGAAGTATTCTCTCATGCCTTGTCACATTTGTGGTTTCAACCTCTAAACACTCTAGATTCTTTGGTTTAAAATGTCTCTGTAAAGGTGCATTAGGTATAATTCCAGTATTTGGGGCTCTTTGCTGATGTCTTTGGGATAATACTTCTTTGGATTCTGTAGTTTCCCTCTTAGTACAAACCCTATCTTTATTTCTTTTTTGAAGGCATATGTCTTTTCTTAATTTTGCTGAAGATTTCTTTCCTTCCCTATAATTATGTTCCTTTCTATCAGGACTAATACTTAGTCTTTGGGCCTCAGGTTTGTCTCTAAAGATTTCCTTTTGGGAGAGACAACCTTCTTTTTGTTCTTCTTTCACCACAGAATTAGGTGAACCACAGCTTTTGCCTTCATCACCTGCCTTAAGGAGTACTGCGCCCCTTCGAGCTTTAGGTACATAGAGTGCCATGTCAGGCCTTCTGGCTCGAACTCTGAATCTCTCTGCTTCTTGCTGCATGGCAACACTTCAATCTGTAAGAAAAAGAGAATGATTTAATTACCAGATACTAATTACAATGTACTGAACCATGATGTTTTCAGAAACTAGATAGAGACACAATGAGAAGGAAGAGAGAAAAAAGGGCTAACAAATCCCATTCCCTTTATTCCAGATCCCCAAAATTTCACCTGACCCAGAATACTTCCTTAGTAAAGAAGCTCTACTCTGATGACACAGACTATTTTCAGCCCAAGTAATACCATGGCCTGGATCATCAAGTATCTCCAGTGTGCTCTTGTTCCTTTTCTGCTTTAATTAATGTCTTAATTGATATCTGATCCACCATTCTTCGTGGATTTTCTATCTTTCCATTTGTGGAAGAATACGATTTTAACATTTAGCCATGCCAGGATTTTTCAAAAAAAGCCTAATTTTCAAAGACAGAAGTACTAAAGTGTGTTTCATTTGAAGGGATGCCAGGGGCATATCTCTCAGTAAAGTATTTGAAAAAATATATCATGATGAACTTTTGGATATAAAATGGTGAAACGTGGACTACTTAATATAACTGTTAAGTGAACTCACAATAAATTAAACAATGAAAAGTAATAAAAATGGACAGAAGTGAATTTAGGGAGGTTAAAGGAAGATTATGTCCCCATAGCCCTTTGAAATTCAACATTTTAAACAATAATAGAGATGTGGACAATAAACACCGAGTGCTTCTTAAATCTGCAAATGACACAAAGCCTATAGAACTGATAAATATCAAAAATGGGCTGGGTGTGATAGCTCACACCCGGGAGGCCGAGGTGGGAGGACTGCTTGAGATCAGGAATTCAAGACCAGCCTGAGCAACAGCCAGACCCAGTCTCTACTAAAAATAGAAAAAAAAAAATAGCTGGGCATGGTGGTACATGCCTGTAGTACCAGCTACTCCAGAGGATCCCCTGAGCCCAGGGGTTTGAGGTTGCAGTGAGCTATGATGACGCCACTGCACTCTAGCTGGTGCAACAGACACTCTGTCTCAAAAAAAAAAAAAAAAAAAAAAAAAAAGATAAAATTATAATTCAATATCATTTCTATAATCCGAAGTGCTGCACTAGAAGCAATATGAAGATATAATACAATAAATACAAGGATCTGTTTTGGAGTTTAAGAAGAAAAGAAACTGAAGACTTGGCTTCTGGACAATGTGCACAAAGAAACATCTAAAGGCTTTTACTTTAGCCACAAGGTCAATAAAACAGTGATGCGGATGTTTAAAAAGGCAACACAGTCTTAGATTACAGAGTCTAGAAAATATGCCACACAATGTACAGTTACAGGAACTAAAGGTATACTTCTTCCCAAAGAGATCTAAATGAAAAACCACAGCTAACTTTATACCTTGAGGAACAGGTTGCTCCACAGAAGAGACAAATTTCTCTTCTGTGTTTCTCTAGAAGTCAGTACCAGAACCAGCTGGTATAAGTTAAAGAAAAACAAAATGTAATCCAATATAAGAAAGAACTCTACTTCTAGAATTCTCCAATGTTATTATCAGGTAATGAACTCTGTCTCTAGAAGAACTTAAATAAAGGCTGGATGGCTGACATACTAGAGAAAGAACTCCTATTTATAAGACAAATAGATCTAGATTAATTTTAAGCATTCTTCAAACTCTAAATTCTATTTTTAATCTGCAATAGACCTATCAAAGACTTCAAATTATGTATTTTAAAATTATTATTATGTACTACGGTTAATGACTTTTAAAACTCAACCTTTCTTTTTCTCTTAATTAATGCCCACATATTGTCATAATACTATTTCCTAAAGCTGAGTAACAGTATAATAAATTCATATTATCATCTATTTCCTACCAAAACACTGAATTCAACTGTGTCATGACCAGTAGGGAAGATTGGTAAATGTTTATAGCAACCAGCTCTCCAAATGTAGTTTGTAGTATTACTTGATGGTTTTGTTTACATTAATGATGTGAGAGAATTCTAAGCTGAAGCAAATTATCATTTTTGAATAATGGAAGAATATATCCTCATTTTTTTTAGTTAGTCACAATATAATAGCTAAAGACATGACACATTTTCATTACTAGCATTTTCTCCCATCACTTTAAGTCTAAATGTTCAATAAATCAAGACCTGTGTATGGTATTTGCCAATCTCTGTAGTGTAATAGTCTTACCATGGCTAATTTCAAGCCATCAATGTGACTTCACTGAACATGGAGTTTGGAAACTACGCAGTAAAGCACACCATTAAACAGTATTTCAACCACAGAGATACAATATATAAAATATAACATTAAGAGCAAAGATCATAATATAGTAAAATAGTTAGGAAGTGATAAATTTTAAGTATTTGTTATCTTTTTTAAAAAAATGTAATTTAAGTAAGCCTATGTAATTTAATGTTTAATAATGGCTGTGTTTAATAATCAGTTTACAGAATTCCTAAAAATTTTAACAATCAGCTCTTAAGCCAGTTTCTAGAAGATGCTCCACTACACTACTGGTTAAGACCATTTTTCATAATAACTCACAGACACAAAAAAGGAGAAACATCCCTGCCTTGAGAACTTTCAAGATATAGCAGTCCTCCTTTATCTGCAGGAACACATTCTAAGACCTCCAATGGATGCCTGAAACCACAGATATACCAAACCCTATATACACTATGTTTTTTCCTATATATACATACCTATTATAAAGCTTAATTTATAAATTAGGCACAGTAAGAGATTAATAATAACAAAATAGGAGGATTATAACAAATATACTAAAAATTATGTGAATGTGGTGTCTCCTTCTCAAAATATCTTGTTGTCCGTACTATTTTCAGACCATGGTTGACCGCAAGTAACTGAAACCATGGAAAGCGAAAGCATGGATAGGAGGAAGGAGACAACTACATTGCTAAGTTAATTTAAAGCCATGTTGCATTCTTATGAATTTCTTTTGCAATCGTGGGCATGTAAGGCCTTTAACATTGGGGGCAAGGCTGCCGCCTGTCATACACAATTTTAAAAAATGTACATTGGATTAAAAATTTACTATTACTATTATCAGCTATTTAGTAACAGTACTTTATGTTTTCTCTTTTTAAACACAGTTTTAACCTTCTCACAATGTTTTAAGTGTTTTAATCAGTCTAATTTGCTTCTTAACTAGAAGAGAGAATCAGTTATTTGGGGGACATTCTGCAGCTAATTTACCTGGAAGAGCCAAAAGCATGTAACTCTGTTCAAAATCACATTTTCTAAAGGGAATAAAAATTCAGATTCCTTTATGACGGAAGAAAGTCAATGGCTAACACATGCCTTTAAAATACTTTAGGCCAAATCATTTTTTCTATATTATACTTTTGAACTTTAGGATCACACCTGAGCACCTGTCCAACTGCCTCTACAGTTTCAAAGTCCCATCGAGAGAAAATATCAGTAACTTCCTTTAAGTTCCTCTCTGACCCATCTTCATTGAGAAAGTAAGCTAGCATAAAATAAATCAGACTTTTACATTTTCACAACAGAATGTCAATGCTATTTGTCTCATATTTGGTATCTAAAACATATGGATCCTTCTTCAATCAACAACAGAGTATTGGCACTTAAGGCAGTCACTGGATAATTCAACTATGAATTGATTTGATCCAGTACTTACCAAAGGCTCACTTGAGACCTATGATATTTGACAGAAACTAATGGGCATAAGTATTCATTCTTCTAGAATAAATTCTCTATTTGTTATTTCATCAGAATGCATTATAGCTAAACCATATATGCTTTCTTAACTTTTATTTGAATATAATTTCATATCTATAGATAAGTTACAAAAGTAAAAATAATACAAATAGCACACTTATACCCTTTACCCATATTTACCAGTTAACATTTTACCTCATTTGCTTACCATTTGCAATCATGCACATTCCCTCCCTCCTCTCTCTCAATACATGAACACAGACATACTCAAATTTTTCTGAACCTTTTTAAGGATAAATTATAAACATCATGGCCTTTTGCTCTAAATATTCCAGAGCATATTTCCTATAATCAGAAATATTCTCTTACATAACCATAATACAGGTGTCAGAAAATTTAACATTGCTATAACACTTTTTTTTTTTTTTTTGAGACAGAGTCTCACTCTGTTGCCTGGGCTATTGTGCCGTGGCATCAGCCTAGCTCACAGCAACCCCAAACTCCTTGGCTCAAGCGATCCTTCTGCCTCAGCCTCCTGAGTAGCTGGGACTACAGGTATGCACCACCATACCTGGCTAATTTTTTCTATATGTTTTTAGTTAGCCAATTAATTTCTTTCTATGTTTAGTAGAGACTGGGTCTCGCTCTTGCTCAGGCTGGTTTTGAACTCCTGACCTCGAGCGATCCTCCTGCCTTGGCCTCCCAGAGTGGTAGGATCACAGGCGTGAGCCACCATACCTGGCCTAATATAACACTTTTATCAAAAATAACTACTCCACTGTTTTTGTCAGTTGATTCAGTAATGTTCCTTAAAGCATATTTTCCTGTCCAGTACAAGATCCCGCTTAGGGTCAGGTACTGCCTTTAGTTGCCACATCTCTTTAGCCTCCTACATTCTGGCACATTTCCATAGACTTTCACTGTTATTTAAACATTGACATTTTGGAAGAATAGCTCCCCTCCCCACCTCACTCCACCTCCTTTTTTTTGAGACAAGAGTGTTACTCTGCCACCTTGGGTAGAGTGCAGTGGCATCATCATAGCTCACTGCAGCCTCAAACTCCTGGGCTCAAGTGATCCTCCTGCCTCAGCTTCCCAAGTAGCTGGGACTACAGACACACACCATAACATCCAGCTAATTTTTCTATTTTTTCAGTAGAGACTGGGTCTCACTCTTGGTTAGGCTGGTCTCAAACTCCTGAGCTCAAGCAATCCTCTTGCCTCGGCCTTCCATAGTGCTAGGATTACAGGCATGTGCCACCACACAGAGCCTGCCATCCTTTTTAAAAGAAAACGTTTCTCATTTAAGATTTCTCAGATGTCTCTC